GTGATATAAAAGTGCAGTTTGAGCCCTCTGTTTTGATACGAATGACTTCAGAAGATCTCAGAAACTCAGCTTTACAACTGAATTTATTTGCAAACACTTTTGCAGAAGGAGAATATAATTTTTACAGCAGTGGCAAGACAGAAAATGTCAGTTGATACTTTTCCTCACAAAACTCTCTTGCATGCCTGGTCTGTGTGAGCATTGTTCAGTAAAATGAATTGAGATTAATAACCCCATGTTTTTATTAGCACTGTGATAGGTGCTTATATTTAACACAAGTTATTTTAGAAAGCTGCAAGGATAGTGAGATAAACTGGATTTTGATGATGGAATAGCAGCCAAGCTTTAAAATGGAAGGTCAGAGGGAGACCTAATAACAAGTAATAAAGGCTGGAATGATACCTGTGTATTACAGTTCTCATTTAAGGTAATTTATCATGTAACAAACATAACGTTTCTTGGGTTGAAGCTTAAAAATTGTGCTGCAGTGTAATTAAGAATCATTTGTAGTAAAATAAAGAGATCATCTCTACAATTGTCACCTGATAAATTTAGGTCAAGGCTGACTGAAAGATCTTGCTGGTGTACAGATGCCAGGTATTTAGAGACTCCTGTGCTTGTTGCAAAGTGGAGATAACTTTAGTATGCTTCAGACTGATAGAAATGGCATTTGTTTAGCACAGGAGATAAAAATACAGTCAGAAGTCAGTGGAAAAATAGTAAAGAAATATCATTACTGTCTTCTAGAACTAAAAGGTTTTGGGCTTTGTGGGGTTTGTTCCTTTTTTCTGCTGAATAGTGATGTTCCATGTTCAGTATCTTTCTATGAATCTAAAAAATCTGAACTTTAAAAAAGAAAAACCAATGCACACAGTGTAGAGATACATTTTGAAAACTAGCTGAAGGCATTAAAGAATGTCTGAATCTTGGATCTCTCTAGTTTGTGTTGTTAATAAAAATATTCTGCACTGCTAAATTGTACTGTGAGCGCTAAATAATAAGAGTATATTAGACTCAAAGATGTGATAGGTGGGCTACAGCTATAGCATTAGTATCAACAGTAGAACAGACTATTATACATACCAACAGGTGCAGATTAATTAAATAGTTTTTTTCTGACCACTGGTTAAAATTACTTTGTTGACAAGATGTCCTTATATTGCAACCATAGGTAGAGTGTCTTCTTTCTTTCAAAAACATCAAGCAATATTTTCTGGTGAAAAAAAAAAATAAATCTCAGCTGTCAGAAAATATATGTCTGAAGGCATTTTATCCCAGTGATTTGTGGTAGCGAAGGCAGAAGGATGATATTATAAAGTTGCTTAGATTGATACTTTTCTTTCTGAATTTGCTTGTTTTTTATGTCATAACTGTAGGCAATCCAATAAGTTTGCAGAATTAAATAGCCAGCGTAAGTATGTGTTGCATGCAGAGCATAATTATGCCTTCAGCCAAGAACTACCTCTTGAGGAGAAACTGCCTGGTAATCCTCATTTCAGCTAGAATTATAGAATTGAACAATTGATCTTTTCTGTGGACAGATTATTTTTTCCCAGAAAGCAATGAGAGCAAGCTGATTTTATCTTCATTTTCCTGTGTTTCTTTAAACACACTTCACAAAGTCATTAACCTTTCTTCATGAGAAAGCCTTTTCTTACCATCTTTTGATACTTGCTACCTTCTTTCTCTCTGTCTTTCTGTATTTTCCCCCAAATGTTTGTATTCTCGGGGAGATCTCTGAGAACCAGAGTCTTGGTGGTGAAGGACTTGTTCTTTAAATATATGCCACTAGCTGAATTATCTTTTCATGCAGTTAAAAATGCAAGACACAAAATGCAAAACAAAACCCTCCCCTTTTGTTTACAGTTTGCATCTCCGTGAAAGACGCATAAAGATTTTCCACAGAGACTCTTAGTATTCTGGCAAGCTCTCATTTGTTATCCATAGACTGTTGAAGTGCTGACAGATGCAGTATTATACAGAAATGCAAAGATTATATTTGTGTTTCTATATGTGTCCTGCAAACCCCCCGAGCACTCAGATCTCTCCTTGCTACTCTGTTCCAGCACGCTCAAGCCATCTGCTTGATTTTCCTTCTGCATTTGCTCTCATTAGTCATGTTCACATGTATTTCAGGCTGCTTAATTTCATTACACAAACTCTTATGCACTGTTCATCCAATAAGTGACAGAGGTTCCTTCTGCTCCCTAAGGGACTTGTAAAAAGAAGTTCTGAATGTGTAAGAAACCCTGAAAATTCTTGTTAAAACATGGACAACATTTATTCCACTGTTGCCATTATTAACATACTAAAACTTACTTCATTGATTGAGTTACCTGTCTTTTCCTGACTCCCAAAGGCTAACTGCTGTCTCCTTAGAAACTTTTGCTTCTAGCTAAGATATTTTAACACAGTTAAGATCTCGACAAAGAACTCATATCATATTTAAAAATTTCCTTTCTGGTGGAGTTAGTTTTCCTGCCTAGTAGTGAGGTTGTCATTTCAGAGCAGAATGTGCTTGTGGCCATCCTTGTGAATATCCAGTAGAATCAGCAAAATCGTAAGCTTTTTAAAGGCATCAGAATTCACAGAGGAAATAGAGATCTTTTATTGCTGAAGATGTAAAATCTCTGTGGTCATTGCTGAGTGTGCTCAAGCTTCTTGAAATTACTAAGGCCATCTATGATAAGGTCATGGCATTCCCGTGGATTGACTCAATGTACGTGTACTGCAGGACAAAAATATACTGAAGAGTTTCCTGTGATGGATTTTGATAACTCCTCTGTGTGATGGTGAGGAACCAGCCCCAGCAATGGGATCTGGGACCCTGCTGGGATCCCAGTGAGCAGAAGGGTGCCAGTGTGGGAGAAAACTGGTCAGTGCTGGGCTTAGGAGGGGATTTGATGGCCAAGGTTTTATGGCAAAGGCAATGGATTAATAGTCAACCTGGAGAGTGGGAAATAAAAATGGGACATGGAGGGGAGAACCTGGACTGACCTGAGAAACAGTGAAATTTGGCAGGGAGCTCTAGGAAAGACAGATTTAATAAAGAATTGGATATCTGGACAGCAGACGTAGAGCTGCCAACATAACTGGCATTAGCATCAGCCATCATCCTAGCTGGAGGGAAGTGGGAATGGTTGAGAAGTGATTCAGGAAGACAGAACAATGGAGTTCAGTGTGAGCCATACTTGGATATATAGGAACATATAGTATATATTGCATGCTCTAAAGAAAAAAAAAGGGAAGGGGGGATAAGAATCCATTATTAGGTATAAAAAATTATTGTTGGGGTTTTTTTAATCTTGAAAAAAGTTCACCATGAAAATCATTATTTTGTTTTGAGAATGTACTCTCTATGGCATACGAATTATAAATCATTCACAGACAGGAGTGATGGATCTAGGCACCCCACAAAAAATAGTGACTCAAAGAGTGTCATAAAGTCTCAGAAAGAGGCTGAATTACCCTTTGAGTGATGGACATTGATGCAATGTTCTTCTTTTAATGTGGTTTGCATCTAATGAGTTTGATTTTACTTTGTTGCTTTGCTAAATATTTTCTATCCAGACAGCCACAAGGTACAAAATAATTGTTGACTCTGAAAGCTCGAATATTTTAAACCAGCTTTTCTTGATACTTATTTCATTAAAACCCTAAGTCCTGGAGTCATTTAAAGGATTTAGTATTTCTTTTATTTTCTGATTGAAAATGTGCATTGTTTGGCGTCTAAATTCCTATTGCCCTATGACTTTGGTGACTGTAAATTCAATGCTATGTGTCTTGCTGATATGGGCTTTATTCTCTAAAAAAAATAAAAAGGAAATTATAGGTATACACATTTATAGAAAATTCCATAATTCCATTGTTTTTACTGTTGTGGTTAACGATACTGATTTCTTAGTACATAAGTAGTGAAAAAATGAGAGTTTCCAAACTGTTTAAAATAACTCTCATGAACTATTGAATAATGCAGTGCTTTTTTTTCTTTAAAAAAATGATCTTTTCTTTTTGCTGTTTTAAATATTACCAAGACTGGCAAAATGAAATAATGACAGTATTTCTTACTAAGGAAAATAATCAGAAGCACTAAGTGTAAGATGTGGAGACTGAGGACAGCTTTTATGGTGTATGATTAAGCAACTGGGCAAGGATTCAAGACATTTAAGGCTGAGTAGGTTCCTTAAACCAAACTCCTTATGTGACGTTCAGCATATTGTTGAATTTTGTATACCTCTGCTTCTATCTGTAGAGCGAGCATGTTGATACAGCTTTACTCCTGTCCTTTGCCTGTCTCAGGGATTTGATATAAAAAATCTGAAAGATCTCTTACAGTCTTCTTCAAACAACTTCCAGCACAGTATGCGTTCAGTCTTCACTGAAGCTTCTAGTAATAGCTATGGGGAAAAAAGCAACATGAATTCTTTTTATTTACTGTAAGTGACTCTATAGAAGGGAAATAGAAGAGCTGAGAAGAGGTAAAAAAAAAAAAAATATGATCTGTGGTATAATCTGAATAGTTCCATGAAATTGTTTGAGCCTAAAGATTAAATTTACTTAGGTCACTTTTGTCCCTTAATGCAAACTGGTTTGAAATTGTCTGGTTGCGTATAGAAGTTAAAAAATGTACAATTATAAGTCCATGTCTTTTTGGTATCAATTGAATTCACGGAGCATGCTGAGTTAAGGAATCTTGTGGGATACCACTCCCCTACTGTACTTGCCTCACTGATCTACAGAAATATATAATATTGGAACACACCAAACCAGTCCCGATGAGTCCATAATGAAGAAAACTTGCTCATGTATGTTTTTTAATTTGTAAATTAACAATGTCATTAACTCGTATGGTAATTAACTTTTGGCAATCAGTTGAAGGGCACTGAACAAGCCAAGAATGTTTAAAGGAGTTTTAAAGCAGCAGTTGTTTGTGGACAAAGATGGAAATACAGCTGCATAGGTACTGGCAAGTGTTTACATGGAGTGTCTTTCTTTTAAAGGGAGAAAAGAAACGGGTTTTTTTTCTGAGCTGTGAAGAAACTAGAAACTGGTAGAGTCTTCATTCAAGATTCCCCTGTGAAAACTGCGTTGATGCCATTCATATAAGGTATTTGAAACAAACATGGATTCTGTTTCCTTCCATACCCTGTTAAATGCTTTAATGCATGGAGCTTTCTGAAAAATAAGATGGAGATAGTAAATGATTGAAAGAAACAGCTTTTTCTGATGTAAAGTCTATTAGACTAGTGAACATATGATTTTGTGGTAACACGTCATATTTCTCACTGACATTAAAGTTGGAAAAATTACTGGTTGTATGCATTTATCGGCTGTTCAGAAAGTAGTTGTATTCTTTGCCTTCTCTCGCCATCAACTTGTATTTTATCAAATCCCGAAGCTGTCATGCTTCATTATCCATAGATGATCTTGAGCAGCATTGCTTCATAAAAAAATATGCTGTGGCATCTGCCATTGTGTACCACTGTACAGATCACTTCTCAATAACGTTTGCCTTTGATTTATACATTCAGTCATGTGTGTTCTTACATTTTTGCCTGTGAATATCCCAAGTAATGGAAGCTGTATATGCTATATTACACTGAGTTTTCAGGTTTTAAATGTCTTCTGTGCCTTTTTAGCCAATGAGTTCCATTGGAATTAGTGTTTGTAGACCTCAGTATCCACCGGGAAGTCTCATCATTTCTGTAGTCATTCATAAGTGCCTGTACCAGTGATGTAGACAGGACATTGAAATTAGGAGCTGTGATTATAATGTCAGTCTTGCATTCTAGATCCTGTCTTTCACTTTTCTGGTTTTTGGAGCCAGCAATGAAATTTATGTCATGATTTTATTAATAGACAGCAATAATGTCTAGATAGGAATATATTTACCAAAGAAGTCTTTATTTCCTGTAAGGTAATTACATTGATAAGAGACTTATTCTTTTTTTGAAACACAATTAGTAAAACTGTACAGTGCTCACAGAGATTAGTAGATAAAAGTCCTCTTCATTCTAGTAATTTACATCTCTATGTAACTTGTTGTAAAGCGAAAAAGAGCACACATTTTTAGGGATGTTCTAAAGTTATTTTACAGCTATTCTGTTTTGGTGGTACAACATTTGGAAGTTAATTTGTTACACTGCTGCTGTTAATGCTTCATCTGAAAATACTTGTTTCAGCAATCAACAGTGAAACTGTATGACTACCCATTTTAGTCTTGATTCAGTACTTCTTAACTTGAAACTATTTGAAATTTATCAAACTGTTTTTAGGAAATTGCATGGATACTTATCTGAATACGTTAAATCTAAGAAACAGTGCTTGCTATAGCCTAGATGGGGTGTCTTCACACAGTTGCTTTGATGTTTTCTCCAGGGATGAGGAGAGTTAAGAGAAACAATCTTGTTCTGTTAAGATTCCTTGTAACTGCCAGGCTTTATGCAATTTCAGTGAAATACTACACTAAACCCACTCCTTTTAATGGAGGAAAAGTGTTTCTGTATAGACTGAAAATATTTAGAGGGCTTCTGTTTACATTTTGCAGTTCCTACACCAATTAATTGTTTATACTTGCAAGGGCTTCAAGGCTTCATTTGGGTTAGAGCTCTTTATGCTTTTTCTGTCTGTGCAGATGTTTCACAGAGATCTTGTGGAAGTGGGGATCATTCAGTGGTCAAATGAAAAGAAATAACGTATAAAAACAATGAAATATCAGGGCACTTCTCAATGAAAGTTCGCAAAACAGGTGAAGAGCCACGTGAAAATGCAAAGCAGTATGTCCTCAAAGTAAATTGTCCCCAAAGAAAATAACTCACTTGGAAAGAATAATACTATGTGTTTGTGTTGTAGAACAGATTGTTGTGAGACTAGCTCTCAACGTGTGACTTTAGCAGTGGCTGTCATTCTGCCCAAAGTCTACCTTTTATTTTCAGTAGCAAAACACAGTAGAGCTCTGTGCTGAACGTGGGAAAAGGAGGGGGAGAGAGGGATATTGAAAAAAAAAAATATTTTTTAGAATTCCCCTGCACCTGTTCTTGTTCTGCCAAAGCTGCAGATGACTTTTGATTGAAGTAGTAGTGTGTTCATCACAGCGGTAAAATTAATTTCCATCTCTGTTCACTATTATGTGTGTCTCAGTTACAGACAGTTTCTTCTGAGAATATGAAATACTGTCTATGACTGTGTCTGGGAGTAAGTCACCAACGTTATAACTCAAACTAATTTAAATGAACGCAAATGTTTGGGGATCCGAGAGCTGAATTTCCATTTGAACAATAGCTTGGAGGACTGCATACAAGTTTTGACTGTCTCGTGCCCTAAAGTGGATTGCTACTAAAGAGATTATCCACATATACCCACGAGCTACAATAAGATTCACAGGAATGTGAAATAAAATAAAGTTGTCTGTAAGGTAAATATTAAGTGGAAAAGCAAATTAAAGCAAGAGTAGAATAAGAATGAATCCAGGAGAATTTTAGAACAGCTCTACACTGGGAATATGAGGATGCAACAAAACCTGAAGATCTGATGCAGAAATCTGAACTAGAACTGCTTCTTAATCTGTCACCCAAATTGTAGATGTTTTTTAGTAGGTCTCTGAGTGTTGTTGATGTCTATATAACCTTTTACAATTTGAGTTGAATGGGATACTGTAATAAACAGAGTCAATAGAAAATATCTTCTGAGACTTTCTGAGTATTAGGGAGTGCTTACTGAAACAAAATAATTTCAGATGGTTAAGCAGAGTCCTCCTATTTTAAAACGTCCATTAAATTGGTTAAAAAAAAAATCCTTTACGTGTTTTAGATTTTATTTATCTTTAATGCTATTTTCCACTTAGATATATTCATGGTGTGTTGATTTTGGTGGGGTTTTTTGGCTTGTATTTTGTGATAGTAACAAGGATAAAAGCAGTTCTCCTTTTACAGGAGCTATTACTTCCACTGAGTTGCTTTGGACATGATAGAAATGCAGTGTGGTGCTTATGTCAGCACTGGGGGAATCTCCACAGAGCACAGAGGAAGGGTGTAAATAGTACAGGTCCAGAACCAGGATGCCGCAGACCAGGCATTCTCAAAGGTCTGACCCCATCTAGTTCAAGAAATCTTGCCAATTATGAATTGTTTCCCTTTTTCTTGCCTTAGTATTTTGTTTCTAGCCCACTAATGAAAACAAAAAGGAAATCCTGGAATCCCTGTTTCATTCTCAAGCTTGTAAAACTCCATTGGCTGTGGTGGAGCATGTGGGGCTACAAATAAATTTCAATTTCAGTCAGTGAGTTTTGCTGGTGGGGAAAACTGGTGATTAATTTTAGGGCTTATACTCAGCATACCTCAGTGAAAAAAATACCTTACAAGCTAATGTTAAATAGCTCCCTACAAGACAGAGGATGTTGCTTCTGTGTTCTCTGAATTGGTTGAGAAAAATTATTCTTTCCCAAGTTATTCCAGGTTTGGGTTTTTTTTTTGTCTTTTAATAAATTTTTAGTACATTTTCTGATCAGCAAAGTCCTGTCTACTGGAAAGATGTTCACGTATTATCATGGGACAGGTCAAAAATCAAGATATTAAGGACTAGCGCATTGTTGTAATGAAAACCAAAACTATAGGTGAATAGTGTTGCCAGAGTTTGCAGACTTGTATCAGAGCAAAGGTTGTTAGACTGTAAACCTGTCTCTGGAAACACAGATATTTGCACAACTTCCTTTTCTTTCTCCTCTATTTTTTTGGACCTCCTTTTTTTCTGAGCTAACACTTCATTGCTCTTTTGGGAACCAACATTCAGCTGGTAAATTAAAATCTCTAGGCTATAGATGGATATATTTTGCCTCCTTTAATAATTTCCATCTTAGAGGGAAACCATTAAACAGCAGTGAAAATTGAATTTTACATAGATCTGTGGTGCATGTATCTGGTAAAATAGGGAAAACAATACATGCAAAATTTACTTTAATTAATTTGTTGAAATTTATTAAACTGTGTATAACCTCCTTAGCTGAAAGTAACATCAGCTATCTTGTACTGGCAACATAGGCTGTAATGAGATTTCTGGGTTTTAGCAATTAAGGATGAATCAGACATACCAAAGGCATTTTTTTGGAAAATAAAATTTTACAAAGCAATACAGTCAAGTGCAGGACTTGCTCTCCCTATAAGAAAGAGAATAAAATTGCTCGTGCAAAAAAAGGCGTCTTTGTTCCCACAGCGCTGCATTTATTGTGTTACAGTCTAAACCAGCAGCAATTATACATAAGCTGTTAAACAAAATGAGAACAATCAAACAGTCAGCTCAGTGAGCCAGAGGTGGTACTTGGAGTTCTTGCTGTTTCTCTCAGTCGATCTCAGCATCAGTGATGGTCAGAAAATAGATGCTCATTCTCCTGCATATGTTTATGTGATGGGGGAGGACATGAATTTTCTTTCCTTTTTTGGCAGGCAAAAAAAAAAGAAAAAAGCAAACAGATTTGGTAAAAGCTAGATTTATGGGGAAAGCATGAACCTGCACTGCACATCATACCTGGGAAGAGTATCGGGTTTTTTTAACTGGCTGCATAAAAGGCCTGTCAGATTACTACAAGATGAAACCAAGAAGCTGGCAAAATTCAAAACAGTTTTGAATTTATATGGCAATAAGAATTCTATCAGTAAAGGTATTGGAAGATTTTAGGGAGAAGAAGCACATGTAGGGAAAAGTAAATGGATAAGTGGGTAGGATATTCTTTCATGGAATGAATTATTTTCTGGATAAATATTGCAGAAGGTCACACACGTTTAAAAATTATTTATGTTGTCATTTGTCAGAAAAAGGATACAAGGGTACGTAGACCATAAATTTTGGTTCAGAAAGTCCTCTGGGCCTATCACAGGTTTGTTCAAGTGATGTAGAAAAACATTGGTGATCAATTGGCTCAGCAGGGTATTTCTGATCATCTTTACATCTGAGTAAATCAGGGTGGTCATTTTAAGTAACCACGGTTTAAAGCCAGGGGAAGAGCTGTAATCCAAGTCTAAGGAGGATACTTATTTTCAGAATCGTGAGCTTGAAATAGTCCAAGGGGGCAGTTTCATGATAGTAGAAAATGACATTTTTACTGGAAGTGATGAT